GTTTAGCTTCTCATCAGGAAGCAACTAGGACACGTTGTACTAACACAGGCTGCAGCTCAATACTTGCTGTGGCTGGTTGCTCCAAGCTCACACGTGCACAGCAACTGTGTGTTTGCTGCTGTGCAGGGTGGGCTGTGCACAGGCACCGTGTCCTTTTGGGAAGCAGTATATGTTTCTTTTCCATCTGCATTGAAGATTTTCTGTTTTTTTTTCCCCCCCCCATTGCTTTTGCTGTACAGCATCAAGACCATTCCAGCAGGTCTGTGTTGTGTTGATTTGATTGGGCAGGGTGCTGGGGGTTTGCAGCTCTGTGCACTTTGGATCTGTCTCAGCATCAAGGTCCATTTGGTTTTTGTGGCTTTTAATAATTTCCTGTGATGGAGTGGTGGGACAAGGGGCAATGGTTTTAAACTAGAGCAGGGTAAATTTACATTAGACTTTAGGAAGAAGTTCTTTACTGTGAGGGTGGTGAAACACTGTCCCAGGCTGCCCAGAGAGGTGTTGGAGGCCCCATCCCTGGAGGCATTTAAGGTTGGGCTTGATGATATATTGTTTAGATTGGACATTAGGAAAAAAGGCTTCCCCAAAAGGGTTGTCAAGCCCTGGCCCAAGCTGCCCAGGGCAGTGCTCAGGGGCTCTGAGCAACATGATCCAGTTGCAGATGTCCCTGCTTATTGCAGGGGGGTTGGACTAGATGGCCTTTAAAGGTCCCTTCCAACCCAAACCCTTCTATAATTCTATGATTCTTTGTATTTGCTCATTGTTAAGGGAGCTGGATTCCTTGTGCTCCCAGCCTCTCTGCCCCAGCTTTGCTTTTGCATAGACTGCTAGGGAGAACAACAGAAGGAGTGTGGCCTGTTTTAACACTTTACAGTGAAATGAGAGTGTAAGTTGTGTTTGTGTAGTATGGCTTGAGGTGACACACAGAGAAGCAGGGAGCTGGCTTTGGACGTGGGGGCTGGAAGCTGGAAAAGGCACGAGGAGGGCTGTGTTCTTCACAGGCAGAAAGAGTCTGACTGAGCCCTTGCAGGCAGTTTCTTGAGATGGCATTAGCCTCCAGAGGGCAGAGCTAGTCACCAGGCACAGGGACCAGGCTGGTGCTAAGGAATAACAGCAATTTCCTCTTTGCTGTAGCAAACCTGCCATGGTCAGCTTTGACGTGAGCAGATTTCAGAGCACTTCAGGAAGCAGAAGGCTGCTACTGTGCCTGCTCTGTTGAAAGGCAGAGTGGAAAAGCAGCCTGCCCAGATCACCATGCTGGGCCTTACAGAGGCTGGGATGAAAACAGGATTGCTGAGGTCCCCTTGCAGAGCTTTATCATTCTCTCAGTACAGAATCATTTTGGTTGGAAGAGAACTTTCAGATCATCAGTTTCAACTGTTAGCCCAGCACTGCCAGGTCACCACTAAACCATGTCCCTCAGCACCACGTCTACATGGATCTTAAATCCCTCCAGGGATGGGGTCTCCACCACTGCCCTGGGCAACTTGGGCCAGGGCTTGACAATTCTTTTGGGGAATCATTTTGGTTGGAAGAGAACTTTCAGATCATCAGTTTCAACTGTTAGCCCAGCACTGCCAGGTCACCACTAAACCATGTCCCTCAGCACCACAACTACATGGATCTTAAATCCCTCCAGGGATGAGGTCTCCACCACTGCCCTGGGCAACTTGGGCCAGGGCTTGACAACTCTTTTGGGGCAAACATTTTTCCTAATGTCCAATCTAAACCTCCCCTGGTGCAACTTGAGGCCATCTCCTCTTGTCCTATGGCTTGTTACCTGGGAGAATACAAAGCTGGGCAGAGTGTAGATATGCTTGAGGATAGGAAGCACTTGATGGTTGCACTTGATTATCTTAAGGGTCTTTTCAAACCTAAATGGTTCTGTGACTCCAGTGTGGAGGTCTGCAGCACCTGAGCAGTGCTCCCAGGATGCAGAGTTGCATGGTTGAATGCCTGACCTCGATGAAGCAGAAATCTGCAGCCCTCCTCTGTGCCATCTTGTGCATGGGTGTTATGGTCTTTGGCTGCTTAGTTTCAGCCTGGGGAGCGTTTTTTGCAGCATCCCTTTTGTTTGCCACAAGAAGAAGCTGTGATCCAGCAAAAAACCAACCTTCATTCACATCCAGGCTGAGGATGGGGGCTCGGTTGGGTAGACTGGGCTGGTCAGTGCATCTTGTGGTCTGTCCTGTCCTTTCTGTGTGCAGCCATTTCCTAACTCAATCCATAGCCTCTCTGATATAATGAAGTGTATTCTTCTTTTTTTTCCATCTCTTTACCCTCCCTTTACCCAAACCCCTGTTCCTGGAAGGAAGACCCATCCCAAAGACGGTCTGGATTGCATGGGTAAGCACTCTCAGAGGTTTGTATTTGAGTAAAACTCTAAAAAGCATGTGGTGAAGAGACTGGGTAGAGTCTGTATAGGTAGAGCAGCTCTGTTGCCTAGGTTACACTTTGAAAATGACCCTGCAATGATCAGACATAACGTTCTCTAAAATCAAAAGATCCAGAGCATCGAACACAGGCAGGGCTGCTCTTCTGTCATTAACCCTTCATGGCTCTGCAGCAGCAGTGGTAGCACAGAAGGACCTTTGGGCCTGGTTTGGGAATCAATTTACAGCAACACCAGTCCAAACTGGGCAGCAAGGGCCCTGAAATAAGTGGATACAAGCAAGTAAAGCTGTTGAAAGACCAGGGATGAGGAAGAGGTTGCTGAGGGTGCCTTGCTCTACTATTTGGAGACAACTGAAAGGTGCTGACGAGCTGGAAGCAGCCTTGTGGGATCCTCTGTTGGTACCTGAGAGCTGCACTTTCAGAATCCTGACTTCCTACATGGCAAAACCCAAGTCCCAAACTCTCCAGGGAGTTATACCTCTTCCACTTGCCTTAACAATAATCTGCAATACTGCAAATGCTGTTAGAGAAAGTGTGTTGGTGACTTGTCAGGATCATAGGTTACTGCTTAATCACTTACAAACATCCAGCTGGTTAAATCATGGAAAGTCTGTAATATTGTAATGACTTTCAGTATTAAAAATGAGCCAATGGCAGTCAGCCTGTGGCACGATAGCTCATTTCTGGCCTGAGGCAGGATTTCCAGACCAAGCTGTGGAGCTGAAGCTGCAGTCAGGCCACGTTGCAGAGGTTTTAATCCCTCCCTGGTGAGAGGGGAGGCATTTTGCTTCGAGACACCGCTCGGCATCGCCGCTCACACGTGGCTCACCGAGAACCTCTTGCCCTGTCCTTGTTGCTTTCCTTACTGACCATATTTCAGCCATTATGTGCTCCTCTTGCACGCTGCTGTAATGGGGAAATCATGCTCAAGTGCAGCAGAGGCCAGGAACGGTCTCCAAGGAGCCGCTGCTGGCCCCAGGCTAAGACAAACAAACAATCTGAACAGGCTGTGGCCTTAGAGTTGGATGGAGGAAAAACAGGAGGTGAAAGATGGGGGGGGAAATGACAGATATTTTAATCTCAAATTATTCAGTGCTACCAGCCACAGCTTCCTGTGCTGCAGTTTTTTAATTAAAAAATACATCCTTATCTTGCCTGTCCATCCATCTCTCTCATAATCTTGTGTCTAATCTCAATTCTGATGGTCTGTAATCTCCTCTGTATATTCTAGCTATATCTTTCTAGCATTTAATCAAATATCAGTTGGTCTCTGGCTTTCAGAGGTCAAGAGTCACATCTAAGAAGGAGGGGAGAGATTGTCTGGTGTTAAGCCCCTGTAGGATTTTTACATTTCCCTGGAAATAGCAGATATCAGAGCAGAGGTTTTGGAGGCGATGGATCTAGGCCTGCCCCTGACTGGTGGTTCTGTTTCCACACTAATTTTGTCATTTTCTCTGTGTGAATAAACATGTCTAGTGCTCTGTCTTGGAAACTAGGCATGATCTATGTTAATCCCATGCCTTGTATTTAAATGGTATGGGCCTAGGTCCATAAAGTCAGCAGATAAACCTCTCTGCTTTAAGAGGAGCAAAACCAGTGTGTCTAACCCTTCTTTTCCACTGAGGGGTGTGTGACTGTGGACAGATTTCAGAGTGAGCCTCAGGGCATGTTTGGTCATGTAAATAAACAGCTTGTCACCTGTAATTCTGAGTGCAGACCAGAGCCCTTTCCCATAAGAAACACTGAGGCATTTGATGCTGAGCTGATCTCAGAAGCATGTGTCTTCTTCCCTCCTGCCAGATTTGGACATCCCGTTCTGCGAGAGGTTTGGGAAAGGTGGGACCTTCCCGAGGCAGTACCACCTCTCCCAGAGCCGCAAGGACTACAGCGATGGTAAGGGGCTGAGGGCCAGGGAGGGAGCTGCTCAGTCCAGGGTCTCCAGGGCTTGGAGCAGTGCCTAGGACTGGAGAGACTTGGGAAGGAGAGGTTTCCAGTGAAGGGAGAGCCACCAAGCCATTTGAGATTTGCTTGTGTGTTCTGAAGAGCATCCTTTGTGAGACCCTGCGTGGCTGCCCTTGGGAAGAGCATCTCCAGCATGGATGAAGGGCAGTGCTCAGCTCCTCCTCTGCTTACACGTTTTGTTTTGACTTAGCCACGTGGGTGATTAGCAGTTCTCATCCCTGGCAATATCAACCTTTGTGTTCTGTAAATTCATTGCTTTAGAGGATGCTGCCTTGGGACCTTTACAGCAGGTTTCTCACAGAACTGTAGGAAATCCCCAGGCAATTTCAGGGCAGCAGTATCTGTTCACTTCTCAGTTGTAAGCTCGTGAGCTCTGAGCTTTGGGGGACCACTCCATCACCTTCTTGCTGCTCCTTCTTTCACTGTAGGAGACTGCAAGTGGTGGGAGGTAAAACTAAGTAAGAATCAAACTCCCTTGGAAAAAACTAGTGAGGACATGCAGGCAGCATATGGAGCCTTCCAGAGTGGACTTCATCTCTGATTGACAGCACCCTTGTGAAAGCAGTTATCAGGAGATCTGGCACTGCTTGTACCATCAGTTGTACTGTGGACTTAGGGGATGGCAGGACTAATTAGCACTGTACATCTCTGCCTGTTCAGGGTTTAATTCTAATTAGCAACCAACAAAACCCCTGATGTAATTAAACTGTTGTATAGCCCACTGGAAACATCTGCATTAGACGGAATGCCTGCTGTCAACAGCTCCTAAATTGAATTAAAAATAGTCACAGGGCTTAGCTGCAGTTTCATTATTTTGTTTCATTTGAAGAGGCACATCACTGGACCTGGGCAGGGACATGAGGTGGTGGTGACAGGTAGATCCATGCCTACCTTCTTGCCATAACTCTCTCCCTTTCCTCCTCCAGGCCGGAGAACTTTCCCCAGGAGTTACTTCCCCCAGGAGAACCTGTTCCAGCTCGTCCCTTCTAGCCGAACCAAGAGCTTTAATGGGGACAGCAAGCTCAGCACCTTGCAGTACGACGAGTACAGGCCCAAGTGGTGGAGCAATTGTGAAAAGGGCCTGCAGGTCTTCAGCACCTCCCCTACGAAAGCTAGAAACTGTAAGTCAGTCCAAGCCACTAGAGTTTGAGCTCTCTAGATCTCAACACAAAACTGAGTTGCCACGACCTGCTGACTTGCTGGGCGTCAGCTGAGCTAAGCAGATGTGGCTGCACTGTGGTTCCACCTCCAACACCAGGCACACTGCACTAGCTTATGTCTTGAGAAAGATTTAATAAAACACTGTATTGGACCTTGGCCTTGAGCTGAGGGCGTGTGGGATCAGCTGGTGTTCATCCCTTGCTGAGTTGCAGCAAACTGCAGGAATGTTGGACTGTCAGTGTGGTCGTGCAGCAGAAGCTTCTGGGAAACTTAGGAGGTGGAGCAAATGCATCCAGAGGCTCAATTCTGTGGCTTAAATTGCTGTCACCCCAGCACCCAAAGATGGTGTTGCAGGCTGCTCTGGTATTGCAAGACTGTCCATAGTTTAGAAACTGGTGCATTTTGGGCTTGTTCAGTGATGGATAACAACCTAGGAATGGTCAGTAAGATAAAACTCCTTACTGGTCCCTGCCTGGGCTGCTGCTCAGCCACGCTGTATCCTGCTAACCACTCCTATAGCAGAGGAGAGAATGTCCAACATTGGCTAAGAAAGCAGTTTTTGGAGGAAGAACTGTAAAGAAATGTGACTCAATTTGAGACTTGTTTCTGCTTCATGCTAATGCAGACTGGGAGACATCTCCCTCACGCACCAGTAGCACTTGTGCAGTTGAAACTGGTTTCTCATGGTGCCCCAGGGAGAGGGTGGCTCGCTGGCCACCTTGGTGAGCTCGCTGTGAGCCTGATCTGCACTCTGGAGGGTCAGGGGGACCTTGATGCTGAAGGCTTCTTGCTGTGCTCTTCTCTCAACCCTGTCCTCTCTCGTGTAGCCCTGCAGGCACCTGTGAACTGGAGGCTGGGGAAGCTGCTGGGAAGAGGAGCTTTTGGGGAGGTTTATCTCTGCTACGATGCTGACACTGGCCGGGAGCTGTCGGTGAAGCAGGTGCCTTTTGACCCTGACAGCCAGGAGACAAGTAAAGTGAGTAGGAGGGCAGGACGTGTTCTGCTGCACGCTGGGGAGCTGGGGGCTGGGGGCTGAGGGTGGAGGTGGCAGAGGGGTCCGTGTCCCTGCTGGAAGGCAGCGTGTGGAGACAGTATGTGTTGTTTGCCCTCTTCAGAGTGGTCCCGAATGGCTTCTGGCACCAGTCAGCATGTTCTGGTGACTTCTTTACCTCATACCTCCCTGGTCATGTTGGCCCACTCGGTCTCAGGTATTATCACTTGCAGGTCTGTCTGCTCTGCCTTAGTTTTGGCCTTGGTGCTCCCTTCACCTCCTTCCCACTCTGGGCCCTGCATTAGCTTTGCTGGTGTCCCCATTCAGACCTTTGCAGAAAAACTTAAGCACAAGTAACACTACTAAGTAAAGTTCTCTCAAAGCCAAGCCTTTGTCTTTCCCATCTGTCATTCTCCTCACCTTACCTTAGGGCAGTGCTCCTCATTTCTGAGCCTTATGTGGCTGATGTCCTCGTGGGCAGCTTCACAGGTGCTGTGAAAAACGTGCTCAGCATCGAGCAACGTTTGGGTAATATTCCCAGAGGAACCATTCCCCTCCATCACAGAGCATGTCTGGCTTGTTGCAGGAGGTGAATGCCTTGGAATGTGAGATCCAGCTGCTGAAGACTCTCCGTCACGACAGGATAGTGCAGTACTACGGGTGCTTGCGGGATCCTGAGGAGAAGAAGCTGTCTATCTTTGTTGAATACATGCCAGGGGTAAGTGCAGTTCCTGCTAAAGATTGTCCTGAGCAACAGAGAATGAATTTAGACTGCCCTGGAGCTTGGTGAAATTTGGATCTGGAGTTAAACTGTTCAGCTAAGCTGTTCTGTATCTGGTGAGCCAAACCAAGCAGGTGGATGAGTCCCTAAGGCTTGGGAAAGCTTAGGCTGTAAGTCAGATGTCGTAGTGGAGCTCCTTAGCATACACTGGGTGAAATCAAAAGCCTTGAAGGCAGGTTTTAGGTTTGAATCCTGGAGCAGGGTGTGTTCAGAGTCTGGAATCTGAACGTGGTGAATGCGGGATGCGATCCACATCTGGCTCCAAAAACTGTGGCCTAATCCCATCCTTAAGTATTTATTGCAAATCCCTGCAGGAAAAGCTAATAGTCCAACTGTCCACCCACAGCTGTCACCAATTATTTGTGGCTTTCAGCACGTGTGGATTAACAACAGTTTTCCTCATTGTGAGTCCTCTTCTGGTCAGGACAGAACTTTTTGTTGGTAGCGTTATCCTCTTGTGCAGGAGTGGCTTCAGTTTGTGACTCAGCAGATTTAGGATGGAATAGCCCTAGGGAAAAAGATCAGAAAGCTTTGAGGGAATCTAAGCAGGGGCTGGGGAGCATAGGGAGGTTAGTGGAAGATCTCTGTGTTTGCAAGCACGGGAATTACATCAGGCCTCTGGACAGAGCCATCGGCTGGTACGAACCAGCATAACGCTACTCACGTTGCCAGATCTGTTCTCCAAAGTCCTGCCTGCCCAGCTGGATTCATTCCCCAGAGTGGGGGAGAAGAAACCCTTGTTTATACAGAGATTTGTAAGCTCAGAAGGGACTATTAAGTCATCTGGTCACAAATAATTTTGGTCATTAGCAAACGTGCTAGAAGCTGTCCTAACACATCCTGCCTCTGAGCAGTCAGGTGGACTGCCACACATCCGAGTCCCCTCCAGCCCTGTCCCTCTCTCCCTGTGCTCCTGCATCTCACTTCCAGGCCCTACCTCGAGCCATGGACCCAGAGGAGGGAACCCCGAGAGTTTCAGCAGTCCCCTTGCCTTACTCTGCAGTGTGCTGAGGTTTGGTAGCAGCCAGGACACCAACACTGGCTGCTGGGGCAGCGTCCAGCAGGGCTGCAAGTTGAACGTTTGGGGTTTTTTGATGATAAACCAGAGCTTTTGTGCTGCAACAGTGGCTTATTTCATCAAAGCAGCTCAGGGCTCTAGTTTCCAAGGCCACTGGAAGTGAATGAATTCCCAGACCTGTCAGGATGGCAGCTCTGCAGTGCTGGATCTGGCCACACTTCTGATTGAACACAGCCAGCTTGGCAAAGGCTTCACGGGGCAAACCTTGGGTGCAATGCTAGCCTGGCACTCCTATGACTGCCCCCATGAAACAGCTGACTCTGTATTTTCTGTCCTGCCCTGCCCATAAAGTGTTTTTTTGAATTTATGCTTGGAAAACAGAATGGTCTATTTGACCACAGGCCTTGAAGACCCTGTTTCCCCTTCTTGTTTGATGTCCCCATTGTCAGGATGAGGGAAGCCAGGATAGGAAAGCTTGTCCTGTCGTGGGTGAGGGGACATCCCCTGCATACAAGTTGTACAAGGGGGTGATTTCAGAGCATCTCAGGCTACTTCAGCAGCACTGTGAAAGGGAGAGGAGAGGCCTATCCACAGGATCACCACCTACCTCAGAAGAAGGCCAAAACATTAGCTGGGCAGAGGTGGGTGGATGTGGAATGGCTGATACAGTTTGAGTGACTGACTTGGAGCAGAGCAGCCCCACTGTTCCCAGAACAGAAGGACTTTGACAATCTTGGATCAACACCAGAGCTGTAGGACAGGCAGGAACAGGACGAGTTTTCTCTCCTACTTTCCAGCTAACCTTAATCCTGGAGATGGAGCTGGGTACGACCTCTCTAGTTGAACCCCAAATCTGCCCCTGGTTCATCCCTGCTAAACCCAAGCTCTAGCATAGTGAGAGAGATCCATTTCCACGTGCACAGAAAATATAGCTAGACCCAGGGGAGGTCAACCTCTTTCAGATAATAGATGTCAGCACCCCTGCTTCCTTTCCTCTTCGGTCAGTAAAGTCAAATCAGTAAGAGCCCACATGGCTGGGTCAGAAATTCAAGTGCTTGCACACTGTGGGAGTCCTGTTGAACACCTGGGTCTTGTTGAAGCAATCCCACGCGGGGCTGATCGTGTCCCTCATGAGTCTGCCTCGTGGCAGTGAGTGCTCTTTGCTGTGAGAAGATGGGGAAGGCTTGATGGAAGACTGACTCGTCAGCTTGGCCCTGAAGAACTAGTCGAGTTGATCCTCTCACTTGAGTTGTGCTTGTCAGTTTGGTCCTTCTCTATGAGCTGCTGGTGATGTCCAGCCACTAGAGGGGGAAAAAGATCTGTAGTGTTGGCAGAAGGTAGCACTGATCCCACCAGAGACCATACCTTTTTCTCCACTAGGATCTGGGCCATTGAGGACGAGGCTTTGCTCCGTTCAGCACTTTGTGGATTTTTACCTTGTTGTTTCTAGTGGGTGTTTTTTTTGATCTGGAAGATAGGATGGTCAGAAAAGTTTAAAAAGTCACTGTGATGTGATGGTTCTGCTGGTCCTTAACGGCTGGTGTGTGTTGTTTCTTTGCAACAGGGCTCAATAAAGGACCAGCTGAAAGCCTACGGTGCTCTGACCGAGAACGTCACACGGAAGTACACCAGGCAGATCCTGCAGGGAGTCTTCTACTTGCACAGCAATATGATTGTCCACAGGGACATTAAAGGTGAGTAGATAATACAGAGAGGCTTCTTGCTGGCTTGGATTTGTTCAACCCAACCTTCTCCCTCCACCCTCTCCCCAAAAATTCTTGTGCAGAACATAGTGCTGGGGTCTGCTATTTAAAGTGCTTTTGCCCCTGGCCTTCAGCAGCCCGAACCATGAGAATCTTGAACAAGCAGCTGAAAACAGAATCTTGTGCTGTCTTCCTGCTTGGGAAGCCCAGATTAAATATTCTTCAGAGGGATTACTGCTAACTGCCCTCACGCATCTAAAAACCTAGTATGGCCAAGAACTGAGGGGCCTTGGCCTTCAGAGAGATCTGAGGCTCTGTTCTGCTCTCTGTGGGAGGGGAGGATGATCTGGCATCTCCCATTCACTGCTCACTTTTGGGAAACCTGCTGAGTGAGGAGATCCAGTGGGAGTCAACCTTCTCAGAGAGCAGCTTCCTTAGGAGAGAGGGATTTGACATAATGCTGAGTCCAGCCCCACCAAGGCCCTTTGGGATTCCTCATGTCCAGCTCTTTGCCTGTGCCCTTCCTGCTCTCCTCGCTGTACAGTTCAAGTGCTTCATCTCTTGGGGTTTTTCTTTTGCTCTTCACCCCAGGTGCCAATATTTTGAGAGATTCTGCTGGAAATGTGAAACTCGGAGATTTTGGGGCCAGCAAACGCATCCAGACGATCTGCATGTCTGGGACTGGGATTAAATCTGTCACAGGAACACCGTACTGGATGAGCCCAGAGGTTATCAGTGGAGAGGGCTACGGAAGGAAAGCGGACGTGTGGTAAGGAATACAGTAGAAACCCCACCACTGCCACTTAAGTCCAACTGTCCCTTTGGGAAGCTGAAATTGGAGCAGCAGGTATAGCTTAGAGTGGGAAAACGGAGCAGTGCAAAGGGTGGAAATTGGAGCTGAATGTTAGGATGAACTATGCAGATATCCAGAGGGAGATGTTGGTGCTGGTGGTCACACAACAGAAGCACTTGGGATCACAGCTTGCTTCTGTAAGCTCTCCCCATGTGTGAGGGTCATGTGCAGCTCAACCTCGTAGCTGCTCTTTAATACTGGGAAGCAGGTTGATAGCAAAATTTGCTAAAAGAGCTGTTGAGTTTTGGTGGCTTTGATCGGAGGTTAGCAAAACCCAGCTCAGAGGCATCTTGTGTGGCCTCTCAAAATCTGCTGCTGGATGTTTGCGTGTGGTTCAGGCACAAAGACAACCAAAATCATTGACTGCTGGTCAGTGTTTTGATCTCTGAGGCATGTCAGCTGGAGCCTGAAAGAGTTGGGATAACATTACTAATCCTCCCAATAAATGAGGATGAAGCACTGTCTTCACAGTGTGCTTTCCATTGGGTGCCCAGGCAAAGTAGAGTCAACAAAAACTAATCCCTCCACAGAGCCCTGCTTGGAGGGGAAACGGAGGGAGCCCTTGGCAGGTGGCCACACTCCCTGCACCACCTGCCCTGGTGGTGGAGGGAAATGTCCTGTTTTTTAGGAGCAGCTATGAACAGAGGTGGTAAAGAGGTCCCTGCTGAGTTGAGGACTTGGCAAGCACAGGGCAACCTCTCAGGCTCTTTGCTGCTCCTCTGACATGCTCCTTCTGAGATGCACGTCAGAGATGAAGTCAGATGTAGGCAAACGTTTCATTCTGGCTCAGCTTCCTGGGGAACCACATGCTACTGCAGAAGCTGGGGCATCTAAATTCATGGCTGGGTTTCCCTTCAGGTTTCCCTTCAGATGGCTAAGGACTCTAATGCTTTTATGAAATTAGTGTCTGCAAGTTAATGTAGGCAGAAAACCCACGAGCTTTAGGGCAAGGCTTGCAAGTTCAGTGGTGCCCAGCAACAGGACAAGGACCAACGGGCACAAACTGCAACACAGGAAGCTCCATCTCAACACAAGGAAAAACCTCTTTACTTTGAGGATGCAGGAGCCCTGGAGCAGGCTGCCCAGAGAGCTTGCGAGGTCTCCGTCTCTGGAGAGATACAAAGCTCACCTGCACATGATCCTGGGCACCCTGCTTTGGCAGAGGTGTTGGACTAGATGCCCTCCAGGGGTTCTCCCAACCCCTGCCATTCTGCAGTTCACTCCTGTTAGGGGCAGTATAGACCCTAGTGCCCAGGACCTGTGTGGACGGGGAGCTTTGGGGAGCCGCGTGTACCCGAGACGTGCGCCCATCTCCCACGCAGGATTGCTCCCCACAGGGTCCGTGCCAGGCAGGTGTGATCCTAGAGCCGAAGAGGCTTCGAACCCCGGTTCCTCCCCACTGTCTCACCCCCGTGTGCTTGGCCTTCTTGCAGGAGCGTGGCCTGCACCGTGGTGGAGATGTTAACGGAGAAGCCGCCCTGGGCAGAGTTCGAAGCCATGGCGGCTATTTAGTGCCCAGGACCTGTGTGGACGGGGAGTTTCAGGGAGCCGCGTGTACCGGAGACGTGCGCCCATCTCCCACGCGGGATTGCTCCCCGCAGGGTCCGTGCCAGGCAGGTGCGATCCTAGAGCCGAAGAGGCTTCGAA